ATACATTGGGCTTAATCAGTTCTCTGAGCTTAAATAGACCATTCTGATAGAAACTCAAGTTCCTGTGGTTGAAACTGGCAAGGGCGCACCTGAAAGAGCTAGTGTTTTACGTACTCATGTGCTTTAGTAGAGAATTTGGCAGATACTTCCAATCATCAAAATTAAGTCCTCGGGGGGAAAAGGAGTATCAACAATAGATATAGATTTTTGTTGATGTGAATTTGATTAATTCCGTGGGCCCTCGTGTTCTATCACTAGATATTTAAAATCGGGGACGGGGGTGAAGGGCTTATAATATCCAGAAATAATTTTTTAACCGTCAATCATTTGTCCTGATTTTACCGAAGTCCATTGACACCAACTATCCTGTGGAAAAAGAAACATTTCTGATACTGTTATTGTATTCAGACGAGTTTTTAGTGGCCTATGTTGAGTTAAACAACAAGGTTTACTGTTGGATAGGTTGTGTAAGACTATGCGTCCGAAGGTAATCAGCAATATTCATTTGTACTTTAGACCTCGTCCGTTTACCGGCAAGGGGAGGGAACTCTAGTTAACTGAGGCGAGATGATACTGTATGTAATTGGAGCAATTTTAGTCATTCTGGTTGTGGGCTGGTTCTCAAAAGCAGACCCGCCAGCAAAATGTGGAATATATACACAGCCGAACAAGTGGTATCCTCTCAAGTACTACATTTTTCTGTTAATGCTAAAATTAAGACAAAGAAAAAACGCGAAGATGAACACGGCGACAGGTGAGAATGCTGGATACGGTGTTAGGTCCAGATCAAACGTAACAGACATGGAAAAGGCACAGACACTGCCTCAAGATCAACCAAAGGTAAATCATACCTCTGTCTAAATGGTAATCCATTTGCATTGAGGTTCATCATACCACTTTGACGCTAAAAAGCAGTCACACAATGTTTGTGTACCCAAAGTCAAAGAGGCTGCATGGGTTTTATAATATATCAACTCCACACGTCCTGTTGGTTCGAGTCGAATTTATTATGACCGGAGCATCATTGCAGATTCATACAGGAAAAAAAACCCACTACAATACAAATATGGCCAAGAATAAGTATGTCGCCGTATAAAATACCTATGTTTGATACGTCCAATATTTATTTTATATACTTTGAATTAAATATTCCAATGTATGATGACTACATTCAAGCATTCATGCTATAGTTACCTTCCGAGACTGTCAAGCTCTGGTAAAATCATGTCTATATATAGCTAAAGTCACTCTTTACGAGTACGGCTGGACTGTCCAGACGGGACCCCAGAGGATAATTGTTCTGTCTCACGATAAATGGCCAAGTGCGAACTAGCGCAGTGTATTATTACTTTTATTACTACTCTCACTCACACTTGCATGCTTTCTTACAAACTCACACCCTAATTTACATATAACTCATCAACAACACCAGATACGGACATATAGAGACGACCACGACACCACACGGGTAGGACACCACCCTGGTACTTTCCACATTATGATACACAGGTCACTCAGACAAACAGACAGCACACAACAAACTACTTATAACTATACAATAAATTAGATCATAATGACCCTGTGACATATCATAAGATAAACTACATAGCTACTGTAATGCAGGTAATTAGAATCTGCATGTGTATCAGTAAGTTATATAGTTAATTAATATAGAGTCCTTACTCCTACCATTCCTCCAAACAGACACATTTACTCAGACTTCACTTATCAACAGTCAGATCAACTGCATTCAATCTTAATAATATCGATGTGCTTAATATAGAGAGTATACATGCCTTTTCCATATCACATGCACCCAGTATCAACCCGAGACTGCAATATCAGCTCAAGGGCCAAAGGGTTGATATTGGTTGTGAAATGGGAAAAGGGTTGTTATATTCTGTTTATTACATACTTACTTCTAGCTATCTTATGATTTATTTTTATTTTTGAAATATTGAAAAACTTTTTTTTTCCCAAAAGGGGTGTGATATGGGTTTTGCGGGCTGATACAGGTTTTGGGGTGTGATACGGCGGGGGCTGATACGGGTTTTGGGGTGTGACACGGTGAGGGTTGATATGGGTTAGAGCAATTGTGTCGTATCACATATAGAAAAACCCTGTATTTATTAGTAAGTATGTAATAAATAGATGTATTAATTACAAGTACCTATACTTACAATGTAGACTATAATTATATCGTTATATTATGATGCACATGTGCAGAAATATTTGCTGCAAATCTTGGTTATGTTTGATATAAATATATACTGTAGGTCTGATAAGTAATAACGACAGTATGTATGGTCCAATATTGGCACTGTATCCAAACAAACAAATGTTGGTTGGATACATATTACTTAAATAGATATATGGGCAAATTAAAGAAGTAATAACGACAGTGCTGACAATTAGGAAGTTGATAAATTTTCAGGGCGATCTGCCCCTTTATCAAGACAGGAACATGAACAATTACATAAAACAGAAAAAAGTCACCATGAGACAATAATACAAATTGTAACAATACAAAGTACATAAACTAACAGAAGTTTTAGTTTATGTATTGTATTATTGTTTCATGGTGACTGTTTTTCTCTGTTTTATGTTGTGATATGTATACTTTAATTTTTCATGTTCCTGTCTAGATAAAGGGGCATATTGACCTGAAAAGGACTATGTATGGTTTGGGCGTGTTTTGGCCCCCAAATGAACTTTGAAATGACTGTTTCTTTAATTTCGAATACTTCCCAAATACTATTATGAAAATATTTATTTGTATTTCTCATTATTGTTGCCATTGTAACAAGTTCAAATTTGCATAAACTAGAAAAAAATGAATATTCAGTGAATATTGTGATATTTTGCATAGTTTTTTCCTAGAAACTATAGAGTGCATGCTTGAACAAACTGAATATTAAAGGATAAAGTGTGTAGGCACCTGTAATACATCTTTAGGAGAATTATAAAGTTTGATGTTTACATGATAGTACTTGGGAAGTATATTCAAAATTAAAGAAACAGTCGTTTGAAAGTGCTATTGCAGATTTTTTTGGGATGTATTTGGGGGCCAAAAAAGGCCCAAACCATACACAGTCCTTTGACAAGCTTCTTTGCCTGCACTGTGGTTATTACTTCTTTGCCCATATATATATGTACATTGTATACAGAATGTAATACTTTTAATTTGTTAATAATGTATATGTATATGTAGCTCGCTATCAATCTCAAGGAAACTTATGTAAGATATCAATATTTTTGTGTTTGAATGCTTCACCTAATGATATTTGATATATACATATATATGTGCATGTTTAATTTTCAGGCAGTTGATGCTGTATACTTTAATGGGGGGAATAAGGATGGTCAATATATGGTGGCAGCCACGGCGAGGAGACAGAATAATGTGGTTCAGACTGTCCTATACCTCAGGGTAAGTCAAATCCCCTTCCCCAATCTGCCCCACTGAACACCATCATAGTTAGTCCATCCATCCTCCTTTCTCACTCGTATAAATTCCATCCTCAGTCCTACCAGTACTTTGCTGTGTTTTATCTGTACCCTGTGGTACAGTAAGTCCCATCCCTGCCCAGTCCGTCTGCAGTACTTGAGAGTGTTTCCTATCAATTTTAATTGAGGAGGGTTAGTTAATTAATTGTCGTTTCTTTTTTCTCGTAGCTTCCTGGTGTTGGTTTGTTGGAGATTCCTTCCAAACCCGACACTAAGCTCCAGGGCACAGATCCAGAGGCCTTTGCAGCAGGAGGACTGACGCTTGAGCCAGTGGATCCTATGAAGACCTGGAAAATATCCTACAAAGGCAAACTAAGGTGGGTAAGTGGAATCTTCTACAGCTCAATCACACTGGATGTTTTGTAAAGATTTTGTAAAAGTGTGTTGAATAACAGTGGCGTAGCAAATAGTTTTTCAGAGTGTATGCTTACTAGGGGGTCAAGCGTCTGAGGAGGATATCGATAGTGCCAGAGGATCCGAGGGGGAGGGTATAGGGAGATCCCCCTCCCATAGCTGGAAAAAAATGAACTTTATTAGGTCCTAAAAGCAATCTCTCATTTCCTGGGAAATACTTTTAGTATGATTATTAACATGTAAAACCCGCTTTTTATATGAATAATATTAAATTTTGTACTTCACATATTAGTTTTTGATTTAGAATTCTACATAAACCTTCGAGATTTTTCAATGTGTATACCCATAACAACACTATTTTATCGGACTGAAATTTTCAAGAAGATTTTTTTTTATTCTTTCCTTTTTTATGATTGATATGTACGGTCCATATTAATCATAAAAAATGAAATTGATAAAACTATATGATTATGATAACTACTGAAATGAAGAAAATTAATGTTTGTCATTTTTGTACGAGTAAGACATCATTTATTTTGTACTTGTAGAAAGGAGTTGTGGTTAGGACACAGAGTTAATGAAACTCATTAAATAGTTGTATACGTGAGATGTTGTATATTTGTAAATATTTCAGAAATCATGAAACTCTAAAAGAGCTGGAGGTGACCTTTGACCTAACCTGGACAGCCTTTACACCATACTTTGATTTTGACACGGACCTCCACCCTAATGTCATGGCAGAATCTATCTCTAAAGAAAAGTGGTCCAGGAAATATTTTGATGTTCTTCAAAGGTGAATATGCCTGTACATTATTACATATCACATACTTATCAACTCTCCTTATTTAGGGAGACTCCCGACTTTAGACCCATAAATTGAGCATTTTCAACCAGTGAGTTTGTATTGGTATTTAGTTTATGGTAATAATTTAGTCAACCACCAATTGGTGAAATCTTGCATGGAATCCCACTTTCCTTTCAAATTTTGATAATTTTGATAAAAAAAAAATCACGTTTTTGTTTCATGAAATATGATCCAGAATGTACACCAGGAAATATACCAGATATGAATTGCTTTTTTTTTCTTCGGAAAATATTCATGTAGACTTAATATTTTTTCCAGTTTTCAAATAATTCTGATAAAATCAATTTGATGTTCTGAGGTGTTTATATTTTCAATTCTGAACATAAATATCTAATGAGAAAGTTAAAGAGAAAATTAGTACCAACATATGTTTCTTAAAAAAAGCTCATCTTCAATGTTGTTGACGAAGTAAGTCTCTCCCTAAATTCTGTAGAAAAAAACCCTAAAGTGCATCAGTTCTTTATGAAGGTCATTAAGTTTCTCAAGATCAAAAGATACCCAGACACAAGTCTGAGGAAGATGTGAGAGCTGATGAAATTATTAGAGTGCTGCTATTGATGCATTGCAGTAGTTGAACCTTTTCACCACTGTAGTCCATAATGTACTCATCCATATCAATGTATGGTAGAGTCTACTAAAGTTACGTAGGGGTGAAAGGGTTAATTGTTCCCATATACTGGACTCTTCAACTGGTTCACAGTAACATCATAGTAGGGATCCGGAGTAACATCCAAGACAATGATTATGTCATACACACAACTTGTTATCTGTAATTAAAAGAAAAACAATCTTATTGCAGTGTCCATCAAACCCATTATGAGCAGTTTGGAGAAATAACAGGCATAGTCAATATAGCAGGTGTTGGAGATAAGACCATCAAAGTTCAGGGAGTCCGAGACCATTCCTATGGTATGTAGACCATGTGCCTTGTCAATCAGAGAGGAATAGTGTAGACTTATCAGTTCAAAGTGGACCAAAGGAATGATACATTGTATATTAAAGTTACACGGTAACTACAGTGGGTAGCCTAACGCACTAGAGTTAACAAGAAAAGTGACCTCCAATTCACAAGCATGTGCACTAGAATTGTATATATGATTATTGTTGTTTATAGTTTTGTTAAATGTTAATTGTCTTGACAATTGTTGACATCGTCCCTTTTACTTCTTTTGTGGCATAAATGTACTTTTCACCTATTTTTACCTGTCGCCGGTCTTTGTTAAGTATATCTGCTTCTTGACCCCCTTATCCAGATCGGGTACTTTATTCAGTGCCAGACTAGATCATTATACCTGATATTCAGGTTACTGAATGACAGTAACGACTTAAATTCACACTGTAATGAACTAATACAATAATAAATAATTCCTACATTTTCTCTAAAATCAGATGATCACTGAGATTGTTTATTACAAGTTTATTTCATGACAATAAACAGGTTTTAATAAGCTTAAGGTACATTAAAATGGAGAAATTTGGCCTTTATGCTGGTATTATTTGTCAAACTTCTATGAAAGGTAATTGTTGGAAATCAACAATTGAAAAAAAGCCAAGCCATGTGTATTTTTCTGTGATGAAAAACAGTTAAGCACTGATTGGTTCAGACTTTTTATAGGACACAGGAGCTGAAACTACACTTTACCTGGGGCCTGTTCGTTTATTCGGAACAACCGGTTTGTCCGTTTTTAAATGTAACAATTTCGGGTATAAATCTTGGCGGACCTGCAAATGTTGATGCAGGCCTTGCAATAGCTTAGTCAAGGCTCGCCTGAAAGAAGCATCAGATTACTAGGTCCGACCTTTGTGAATTGGTCATTATTAAAAACGAACAACTGTGGTCCGACTGGTTCAACCGCTTAAACGAAAAAGGGCCCTAGACACACTTCAGGTACTGACAGAGGTGATGAAGGGAGGTAACTCTGATAGGTCAGAATGACTCGCCCTGAAACAAACACATCATGAGCTACAAAGTTACAGGACATGCAGGTCCATTGGCTTGGTTTTGTTTGAAAGCACATCAAACAAGGACTACCGTTCCGTGTAAAGCCTCGTGAAACAGACTGCAGGAAATATTCCCTGACAGTTCAGTACTCTTCAAAATTATTGGTGGTACATGTACAGGTTATTTGCAACTATATATTTGTTGACAGGAAATGTTCGTGATTGGCGATACTTCCACAGGTACGCAATCACCTATGCCACACTGGTTGACAAGACAGCTATCTGTATAGGCTGTATATCCATGCCCATTACCATGACCAGGTAAGATTCATTATAATTACTAGGGCCTAGTTGTTCAATATGTGATAAGATTAATCGCTGTTTAACGACAGTCTTCAAAATTGAATAATTTGGTCAATATATAACGTAAAAACTTCTAATTTGTATGTAATTTTACTCTACTGAAATATTTACTATGTGGAAAGTTTTAAATCAGTTATTTATTGTGTATTCAAGAAACACAAAAAATAAAATTTGTGCAAATCGCTGATTAATTATAAACTAATCTCCTTCTGAACTACTTGGGGCCCAGATCAACAAAAAATTCTGAGGCACTTCTATAGATCTCTGAACCTATCACTTCTTGATACCAACAAAATGGTGATGTATAAAATTGTTCCTTCTTTATTATTGTAATAATGAACTTATTTTTGTATAAATTCGCATTAGACAATAATTGCTAATTCAAGTATCACAGGAAAAGTTAAATACTGTACTCACTTATTACGAAGTTAACACTTTAAATAAAACGCTAATTTAATTGTCCTTACAAATATGCACTGAAAGGTACAGTATGTGGAATTCTTGCGTATGATATAGAAATGCACTGTATTTATCAGTAGCTATGTACTTTGCCTCTTTGATGAACTTGAATTATAAAAATGACCCCCTATACTTGGTGTGTTTCAGTCTAACGATTGGCTATGTGATTCATCCTGATGGTACTAAGGAACCAGTGTCGTCGTCAGAGTTCCAGTTAGCTGATCATGGAGAAGATGGACACCCACCCAAAGAGCTGTCTTTTAAATTCACTGCAGGTTGGTGTTATTCTTATATCTCATATTCATTTGTACTATTACAAATAAATATCAGTCTGATGATTTCTGAAGCTAGTACATGTTGTTTTACCCATTGAGCAATGAAGCCTACAATATCTATGGAAGTAATGCTGTTGTTGGTATTAGAAGGACTTCAAAATATATTTATACCATACAAAATTCATAGAATAGGCAGGAACTGGTGTAGCTGGCAGTGGCTCAGTACCTCACTTCCGGTCCAGGCTTGGTGCTGCTATACGACGAGTGTTAGGTTAAGGCAAATATTAGGCATAGGAGCAGTCTAACAAAAACTAGACTTATACAGTATATACATATAGGACAGATGGCTACTTTTCTCCTCTGTCTCCCTCTTCTATCCCTTCACTCCATACTTTATCCCTTCTACTCATTTTCCCGTCTTTTCTTCGTCTGCTGGATGACCGAACTACTCGGTAGTGAAGCGGACGTAAAACCTGTCAATCAATCAATCAATCAATCAATCAATGCTGTTGGTATCATATGAGCTGTATCTTATCATGTCATAAAATGCTGCTGGTGACATAGCTATCTGAAAAAGGACCATTCAGTATGAAATCATGTTTAAACAAGTAGCCTATATATACATGTAATTCAAACATAACTTATTTTTGGCAACATTTGTCTACAGTAATTAAACACAAGGTAATTCGACCATGTTAGTGACTACCAAACACAGTTCTGCACTGACAATCATTATGAAACAAAATTTAATCAACACATCATACAACATTTTTTAATTTTTTTTAATGCAAAATTGAAACCAAATAGAAACTCCCAGATAATTGACTTATAATAAACCAAATGTAAATCACAGACTCCCTTCAATTGTACCTACCCAACATTTTTGATTTGATGTGAACTAAAGATTATTTTTGGTTGTTTATACATTGTACCCAGTAGTTGTTTCTACAAGTAACCTTTACTGTTAATTATATAGTAGTTGTTAGTTTGAATAAATTCAGATTTAAAAGCTTGTGTGTTGTCAGGAGAGAAAGAGTACAATATGACATGTACAGTTGTGGAAGCTCCGATCTTCTACATTGGTGAGGGCCGGGATGCCAAGATTCATGAACGTTTGTGTACCTACGATATCAATGGTGTACCTGGCTGGGGCATCAGTGAATGGGATTACAGGTATGTTTACTTCTATTGTGCTACTCGTTTAGTAAACGAATCTCCTTCCAAACATGATTATGTTCAAACTGGTCCCCACACCAGACATCTATCTGTCAAAATGTCTAATTCTGGTGTCAGGGCCAGAGGTAAATCTGGCTAAATGGTTGACTGATTTTCACACCTCTATTTATGGTGTAATAAGAAGCTATTGGTAGTAATATTTGCATTGAATGCTACAAAATGTTAACATTATCCTCAAAGAGGGACAAATCTGGTCAGAGTTATAAGATGTGGGACCAGACTGGGACCTATGCCTTCAGAGGGATCGCTTGAAGAAGAAGGATAGTTGACATGTATGAGTGGATCGGATGTGAATCCTCTATTAATGCATGGAGTTATTTCCCTTTGGTTAAAAAAAAACTTTCTTTTGCTGTACCCCTGAAGTACGTACTGCACCGATTTCAATAACACTTCGTACACAGAACCCTTGTATATAAATTGTGTATATAAATTGTATATAAATTGGAGTTATTTCCCCTATTCATGAAGTGATCATGATAGCTCTTTGGTTTCAGTTCACACTATTGATTTCAATGAGTAGTGCAAACAAGTTTTCAAACAAACAAAATATAACTCTGAATCGAAGCTGATATACATAAAAAGGACATTCTTTTACAACCCTTATTCATGAAGTTGTGGCTCTTTGTTTAAAAATGTTCTTTCAGTTTGCACTATAATTTCCTTTTAATGGCATTTGGCCCCTTTCTTGAAAAGAAGAAAAGAAACTGATTGAAAGAACTTTTCCTAAGTTTTTTTGTGTGTAGGAGCTCGAGGTGTGGGGAAAGTATTAAGCTCTGGCTTTCATTTTTGTGACAGTTCTACTTTTTTTTTTTTAATTGTTATAAATAATTCCAGAGATGATTGTATATGAAATCAGAGACGTATATATTATATACGTCTCTGATGAAATCAACTACATATACACAATGTGATGTGTACTGGTCTCAAACCCATGAAGCCATGCAAAGGTCAATGTCACAACCAATGGTCAAATATCCTTTTTAATGCTGTTCTCGACCATCACTGCTTTAGATGTTGTATGAAACTATATAGATGGATAGATATAACCACTGTGTTGGTACAGTTCTTGGGTGTGCACATCTTAGGTTAAGATCACAGAAGGGAGTCAAATGATATATCTTTGTTGTGCTTGTCCATGCAGTAACATCTTTGTAAGAATGTTTTAATGAAACTTCAAAAAATCATAAAACGTTGCCTGGTAACAAATCATGCACAACTTTTGAGTCCATACTCAAAAGCTCAAGATTACAGCAAGGGTAATATATGAAATCAGTGTATTGCTTGTCTAATAGGCTACAACTATGGGTTGAATTTTTGGCCTGATAAATGCTCGTACTAAGCATTTACACTGATCAGCCTGATCTAACACTCGCATTGATTATCATTACCAGAGAAGGCATTTATTCAATCCCCGGAGGTACGTCACATTTAGAAGTCCACAGGCTACTGATGCAGAGGCACAGAAGTCTAGTGGTAGGACGCTGGGCTCGTGACCGAAGGGTTGCGGGCACAGCACTGTGTTGTATCTTTGAGCAAGATACTTTACTCTGCTTGTTCCAGTCTACTCAGCTGTAAATGAGTACTTGGTTGGGCAGTGCTAACTGCTACAGTTAGAATTACGCCCAAGTATCCACCTAGGTTCAGTTCGTTCTGCGAGCGGCTTGCGTGCGGTTAGCGGTAGTCTAGCGTCTAGAAAGCGATCGTTCACCGTTCGAGCACCGTTCGTATGTTTCGTCTGTTTCGTTCGTATCAGCTAAATCGTTCCGTTCGGTTATTTCGACCGTCCCTATCGTCCAATTATTTCATTGGGTCGTTTAGTTCGGCTACTCCGTCCGGCTGTTCCGTCCGGCTGTTTAGTTCGATCGTCTAACTTACTCCGTCTTTTTGGGTTAGGATGCGCACGCAGTTTATCAATTCA